CCCCGCCGGCGGGTCTGCGCGCTCCGATAGACTGGCGGCCCTGCTGAGGGAGGGACCGTGGCCGGCGGACCCTTTAGCTTCGTGAGGGGCTTTCGCTGCTTTCCGCACTTGTGAGGCAGCTGGTGTTTGGCAAGAGCTTGCCGCGGTGGCTGCTAGCTTTAGCCCTGAGGTTTTTTTACTTATTTCTTGCTGGTGATGCTTTGCTGCTTGAATGCAGAGCCTGAGCTGGGTGTCTGCAGCGTAATCTATGCAGTCAGAAAGTGTTGCTTGGATAACTCTTACATGTGCGTGCCTTATTACAGGTAATAGCTTTTGAGGACTAATAACTTATTCAGTGTAAGCCTTCTGTAACATTCAAGGGTTCAATCCATTTTAAATAACTAAAGCTGCTGTAAGCTGGAGTAGACTGTGTGTTTAGTATGCTAGCAATGTTGTTAACCAATAAAGAATATGTTAAAGTCTGTTCTCTAGCAGGGAAATACCTAAATATCTGTTGAAGTGGTGCATTCTGTTATGGAGCCTGGGCTTTTGGTTTTATTTCAGTCACACTGCCAATTAAAAGCAATCTGACTTGCTTCTGACTTTTGCAAAGAGCATGTGGGTGAATCTCGGTATTAATCTAACCCGGTGTCCTTTAGGGGAAGTATCACCCCTGTCACCTTACTGATGTTCAAGGCATGACAATGTGTATTTGATAAGGGCGATTTCTTTCTAGTTAAATTGAAGACCTCAATTTATTCCATAATGAGGGATGGACTCTGTTTTTGAGTAGTTTGCCACTCGCTCATCTGATACAGAATTCTTCGAAGGAGATGCTTGCTATTTTTACCAGTGTGGGGAAGAAATTCTGAGTAAGAAGCAAAACAAGAATTCAGAGAATGAAATGGCTGAGGTGAAATGGCAAAGTCACTTGCTGGTGCGTTTTTTGGATTTTTTTTTTTTATAAAAGCTCTGCCACGCTGCTTTAATTTCTTCCAATAAACATGGAAAGCTAGAAGGAGGGATGCAAGGCAGAAATACCTGGGAAGACTTGTATGGTTAGTTTGGCCGTGATGGCAGGAGAGGAGACTAGTAAGACTTTCAGGGGCACAAACCTTGACAGTGCTGTGTAAGGCCTTCACCCTGCAATAGGTCAAAGGAACAGTGCGCTGTAAAACTTCTGTATTAGGGTATTGTACACCTATGTCAAAACTTCCGCTAATATTAGCGAATCTGTGTACAAATTTAAAATTTTATTTGTCTGTGCTTGCATACTTCTATGTTGTGTCAGTGCCCACAGCATTATACAGAAAAGCTGAGTAGCCTTTATTGTCTAGGCAGAGTGAAATGTAAAACAAACACAATCACAGACACATTTTAGTTTTGTATCAGTGCTATGGTATTTGTGATAGATAGAAATTTGTTTTGATGTGTTGAGGGGAAAAAAGTTAAGTGGTATTTTCAGTTTTGACAAATCTCTCAAAAATAAAGGTCATGTGTGGCTGACAGTGGGGAAACTGAGCTTGGCTTTTTCTCCATTAATTAAATGATCTGCCATTAATTGTGGCAGGACAGGAATATGAGGAGCTTGGTGCTGGAAGTGGCCTGCCTCTGGCACAGCGTCATACCCATATGGCTCTGCTGCTTTCATACTGAAAAGCTGGCATAGTATGTCTGTGGTTCCTGACCTCTGCATGGCACTCTTTTTGCCAATATAGTGGGGGCTGTTACTTGCCTTTTCTTTAGTTTTCTTTTTTCCCCATCAGTGGTGTTCTCTGCAAGAGCCTAAAGAGTAAAATGGATTTCTGTGCACTTCGTTGTTGAGTGTTTTAAATTGTGTGCTTTGAGCTCCCTTGAGTCTTTATTGTGTTGGGTGTCAGAAGACTGAAGACCCAGGTAACTCCCTGTGAAGTAAAGATGATAAAAGGAAAACTAGGGCTGCAGTAACTCTTCAGGAATGCTCAGTGTCTGCAGCTGCTGTTAACTTCAGACACTGGATTATTGGCACTTGTAGAAGAAGTGACCAAGGAAGGTTCGTCTTTACAAAAGGCAATGCTAAGTAATGTATATTGTGAGGAAGGGAAAAAATAAGCTGTGGAGAAACCTACATGCTTTTGAGAAGGGCAGTCTTGTATGGGTTGGACTGGTCTGGCTTTGCAGTTCTTATATCTTTTCTAAGATAATTTGGTTACTTTAGCAAGCATATGCCAATTATGATTTGTGGTCACTTTGTCAAATTCACTTAATTGACTTCTAAGTCAGAGCAACCTTTTTTACTGTAAAAGGCCTGATGCACCTGATTATTAATTCCTGTGAAAGTCATATGAAAATAGCGTATTGTGAGCACTGGTACTAGAAATAGGCCTGAATGGAAGCAAAATGTTATGTGCACCTCTATTCTGTTCAAGTATACCAGCTCATGTTAATGTTGATACCAGGAAAAACAGGACAAGTTTAGTGATGACTATCTTAAAGTTCCATTTGATTGCAGAATGTAGTCAAACCAATTCAGCTTAGTAAGAATGGTTGGAGGTTATTCAGATCATGCCTGGGAGACAAACTGCTTTAACCCTTCACAGTGAGAATAGTGGTTGGCTAAATACATAGCAGAGACATTGATTTGAACCCAGATGCCTTTGTGCAGTATTACTGACTTTCTTCTCATTGTCAAAGGTATTAAATGTTTCTACCCTTAACATGTTTGGAAGGTGCATCTTAAATGGACAAGGCACAAAGTTTATTAAATGTTAGCCTGTACATTTGCATAACGTACTTACAGAAGCATTAAATCATTGTCTTTCACAGAAAGAAGAATCAATAATGTCAGCACTAAACTGGAAGCCCTTCATCTACGGAGGTTTAGCATCAATCACTGCAGAATGTGGTAAACTTTTCCTTTAACTGTTTACATGGCTTCTTTATTCAGTCCCTTTTAAAAACAAGCTTGGTTCCATACTATCAGTGAGACAGTAGTATGTAGTAGTCTACAGGATAGCAGTTTTTCTTTAATGCTGACTGAGGAGTTGCTCAGAGTTTTGTGAAAATGCCAGAATGCTTCTGTCTGTGAACTCATCCCCTGTGAGTCTTGTTTTCGTACAGACTTTGCCTTTGGATTCTATTATTTGGCCTTTGTTGGTCTTTGATCTATTCCTAGACAATGGTCATAAGTATACACAGCTTTTGTTTTGTGAGAACAGACAAGTTAAGCTCTTGACTTGTAAAATTTTTCTCTTGGCTTTTCTGAGTAGATATGTTGCAGTTTAAACTCCCTTTTCTTGAACATGAGTAATTGGATGGATTTTAACACTTAATGGTAGTGTGCAACATAGAATAATTGCTGTAGTGAGACAATGCATCTGATGTTTTAGTGTCTAAAGACAAACTTAGAATGCGAACATCCTTTTAAAGTCTTATTTGAAGTGCACATATGTGAAAATGTGAATTTGCATAGTAGCAGAACATAACATGATGTGGTGGGCTTGCATGTGAAGTCTGTCTAATAAAGTAGATGTAGTTTTAAGTGTAGTTTTATACTACTGTGTTTTAAGTTTCTACCTTCTCTTATGAATCTTGTTCAAACTTGAGTTTGAAAAACTCGTATTTGACTTGGCTGAACGTGGATGGTAATGCCAAAAGCTCTGAGGAAGACAAACAATTCATAAAAGCCTTGCTTGCCTGGTAAACCTCGTTAGAACATATGCAGTTAATCCTGACTCCTATTAGTGTTTAGGTGAGTATTGAATGCTGAGGTGGTCCCTTTACTAAAGATAAGCTCTAGGGGAATGTGCTTTCTAAACCCTTTAATAAAGGGAGCATGGATAGTATGAACTTGACATAGCAATAGGCTACAGGAAAGCAACAGCAGAAATGGATACTGCTACTATTGCTCTTTCAGATTCTAGACTAGAATCTGTATATCTTGTCCCATGGAATTTTATTTCTTTGCCTTCAGTGAATTGCTCTTCAAAGATGTTGATAGAATACACATGCAAACTCTGTACTTGATTGACTGCAGAGTCCTATTCAGTGTGGCTGTTTACAGCTCAGCAAAACCATGTTGCCTGAAAACATAGTGAGTGCAAAACATAAACATAGGAAGTAGGCAGGGCCTCTGACAAGCTTTTAAAAGAAACAAGGTGACATAAAACAAACCACTTCATTAAAAGAAAGTCTTGGTAAGAGAGACTTTTCCCTGGGAATATTTTTGTATATTTTAGTATATAATACAGGCTGCTTTTTCTTATATTGTGTTCTTTGTTGTCTTTGAGTAGGTAAATACTTGATTAATTTTGTCTCTGGTCTTTCTTTAAGGTACTTTCCCCATTGATTTGACCAAAACACGTCTGCAGGTTCAAGGTCAAGTTAATGATGCCAAATACAAAGAGATCCGCTACCGTGGAATGGTGCATGCACTAGTCAGAATATGCAGAGAAGAAGGATTGAAAGCCTTATACTCTGGGTAAAATTAACTGACTTGCAGTAATGGTTTGTGACCAGTATATTGAGAAGTATAAGCCCACAGTGTGTGAGTTCTTGAGTTTCAGATTTACACGGTACTTTGTTAGCCTCAGTTCATCTGGAAGTTGAAAGCCCAAGCTTAGATTGTTTCAATTTTTGCACTCTGTGATAGCATTTCATACTTAAAAAAACCCAAACAAACCTACTTACAATGAAAACAGCTAAACATGAAGGTATTCTTTACAATGCTGCTATGGTTGTTCCATCTCTTGGTTAGAAGAAAAATTGAATTAACCTTTGTGTATAAACTGGCATGCTTTTCTCTAAGACATGCGATATGGTGGGGGGAGAGATGTAATCTGCAGACTACATTTCAGACAAGCTTGCCAACTATTTTATAGATCACAAGTTGAGGCATAATTTGTTCCACAGGTCATTCATGTTCTTGCAAGCTTTAGTTAAAAAACAAACAAAACAAAGCATCAAAAAAACCCAACAAGAAACCAATAAAACCTTGTTTTGTCTGTAGTGAGTTTAAATTGTTGATTTAAATGAACAAACCTTTCTGTGGTTGATATCTTGTGTTCAGTTTCTCCTTCTCTAAAAGTATTTGCTAGTCAGTCTTTTGCAATTTTGAGCATAAATATTATCATTGCCTGTTTTTACAGGATTGCACCTGCAATGCTACGCCAAGCTTCATATGGAACTATAAAAATAGGCACTTACCAGAGCTTAAAAAGAATGTTTGTGGAGCATCCAGAAGGTGAGTGTGTTTTTTTTTTTTTCAGTTTAGTTGACGACTAGTTTGCTTGAAGCAGCTTATTACCATTTGGTGTCTTGCATAGAATCATAGAATCAACCTGTAGCGGTTTGAACAAGTCTACTGAGAAGACATTCCTTGTGTGAGTTACAACAAAGTGAGTCAGCAGGGAAAGCTTGTCAGAGCAGTTTTAAACGGTTCTGTAATTGGCTCGCTCTCTGGTTAAAGGTGGGTTGGCATCATCCTGCCCTGATGCATCTTAAGCTTTGTAAATCTGCAGCTGAACTTTTTTCTTTGTTTACGGAATAGATGAAACCCTGATGATAAATGTTCTGTGTGGCATTCTTTCGGGAGTGATCTCATCATCTATTGCGAACCCTACAGATGTCTTAAAGGTAGTTATGTGTTATGTAATGTTTGTCCTTAGTTTTTGTCCTCTGCTTGAGGAAATGCAGATTCTCCTGATGAATACAGGATTTGTTGTTTTGTGATGCTATTTACTATCATCTCTTAACTTCAAAAAAATAAATAAAAAAATCAGTGATGTCCTGAATTCTTGGAACCATCTTCTGGTCCTGAGTAATTATTTGAAAGTGTGGACCAGGAAACTGATGGCTGTGGAGGTAGTTGGATCCATATAACTTTTTCTGGGGGTGAAAAGAGAATAATTTAAGATCACTTTTTGTAACTTCCATGCTGTAGTGTTCGTGTGGAAGCCACACTGCGTATTTCGTTATATTGCTTGGCATCACTGTTATACTAGGATGTTTCTAGAGCTCAGAATAGGTGAAGATCAACTGAGAGGCGAGAGTTCAGTGAGTGCTACTTGTACTGTATGATTCTTTAATCCTGTAGAGAGGTTCTGCAATCCAGTGTCCCATGGAAATAGTGTTCTAGCATCAGTCACTTAAAGTGAATTGGTGAAACCATTGCGTCTTTAAGAATCTGTTAGCATAATCACAGTCAATGACCTCTCTTCCTGTTAATTAAAAGTTTTGATGGCATTTAACTTAGAAAACTGTAGCATGTGACTTACCTGGCTGTCTCTAATGAAAAATACAAGAAAATTCTTTCTGTTCTTCTGAAACTGCTAAAAACTTAATCCTTCGTAGGGGCTAGTGTGGTTATGTAGAGGAGTTTCAAACATAAGCTTCTGTTTCAAGTGTGGCTTCAATTAGTTATTTCTCAAAATTGTGTACCGTACCAACTTCCTTGTCACTAAACTTGTGTTTGGTAGTTACCATGGCAGTTTCCCAAGGACATTCCTAGAAGTCCACAGGGTGGAAGGCCATGATTCTCGCTAGCTGAAACCTTGATCTTTTTAACCTTTCATTTTAATGTGTTTCTGTGAGAACACTGTGAAGGACATCCTGCAGAACCCATCTGTCAGTCTAATCTAAATGGAGTAGTGTACAAGTACAGAAATAGACATGATTTAATGCAGTTAAGAACTACACCACGTACTTGTTCAAAATTAGCAGCTCTATTTAGATAGTTAAGACACTTCAAAAGATTTCATCATGGTTATAATAGTGTCAACTATTAATTTGTATTCAAAGACACATTGACTTTATTACTTAAAAGATTGTAATTTAATGGTTTAATGCAGTTATGCTAACACTTTATCTGTTACATGTTTGAAAAGTATTTATTTTCTAATTTTATCTTCAAATGAATCTCAGATCAGAATGCAAGCCCAAGGTAGTGTGATTCGAGGAGGAATGATGGGCAACTTCTTACAGATCTACCAAAACGAAGGCACTAAAGGATTATGGAAGGCAAGTTTTTTGAACTATAGCCTACATTTTATGTACACTTTGCTCAGCAGAATTTCATGTTCTACAATGTTCAGTCAAAATATGGAGAAAGCAGTAGCTAATATGTCTGTGGTTGGTCATGACTACTTCACTGCTGGTGTCTCAGTGCGTCTCAGTCTCAACTGAAGACCAAGAATGAACAATTGTTCTGAAACAGCTGGAAAATAGAAATGTTCTTCTATTAGTGTGATTTTTCTCTGCAAAGCTTCTTGAGCTCCATTTTTCTGTTAATCTTCCTTACTTTGTCAGTTTCTCAGTTAGCAGCATGGGGAGCCAGTATGACCTGGTTGTTGAGGTCTTAGATTACAGTTGATGTAAGAATTTGAATGTTAAGCAGAGATGAAATAGCATAAAGGAACTGAAATTGCCATTCAGTATGGAGAAGTAATGCATCTGTGAATTCAAATAAGGCTAATTAAAAGTCTTAGTTGTATGTGCTCCAAAAATGAAGATTCAAATTAACAATGTTCTTAACACATTCATGGTGTGTTGCTTTGTATTATAGAAACTAGGCTTTTCTGATGGTGCGCAAAGGTTAATTTTAAACTTCAGCTATATGCTTCCTTTTGCCAGGGAGTATCATTGACAGCACAGAGAGCTGCTATTGTTGTTGGAGTGGAACTGCCAGTGTATGACCTTACTAAGAAGCACATAATTATGTCTGGATTTATGGGAGATACAGTTTATACTCATTTCCTGTAAGTTTGTGTAACTGTTTGCATAGTTCTTCATTAGTTAGTTCTTGTTAGAGGGGGTGAATCCTTTGATTTTTCTTTGGTCTACATGTAGATACACATCTATTGTGTTTATACTTTCTAATGCCGGAGCATCTCAAGTGGGTAGCACATAGCATGGAAGCTAATTCTGCTCAGGATTTGGATTTAACTTTCTTTTGAATATGGAATTTTGGTTTGTGGATGAACTGAATCATTCAGTTTTGCAAACTGAGATTAAAGTTCCAGTCGAATATTTTCTATTCTCAGAGGCACAAACTTCTGCACAAGTATACAGAAACTGTATATAAGGGCTGTATATCAGATCTTGAAAATGGTGCTTTGTAGTAAGTGAAAAATTTTTCACAGCTGTTCGCTGATGTAATTTGTAACTAAAAGCATTAAGCACTCACTATTACTGCACACTTTCTGGAGGGGAGGACTTCTTGTGCATCTTGAAATGCCATAGGTCAGATCTCATCAAACCTTTCTTTTGCATTAGCTCAAGCTTTACTTGTGGGTTAGCTGGAGCCCTTGCGTCCAACCCCATTGATGTTGTGAGAACACGCATGATGAATCAGAGAAACCAACAGCACGGGGGACACTTGAACTACAAGGGTACTTTGGATTGCTTGTTACAAGTAAGTAGTTGATGTATCAATGTAAGTGGAAACTGATGCTATCAAGCAATGATTTTGGTGTAGAACTCAAAGTTGTTCTAAATTTTGCTAGAAATTAATCCAGGTAACTTAGATACGCGTTTTGCCCTAATTCTTAAAAGGACTATACTGTGAATAGTGCACTTGGGTGTGTAAAGTATCTACTGTCTTGACAGAAAGACAGGGAGAAAGTAGGTATGTACTGCAGGCACTTAATTCCCTTTGGTGCTTGGATGAGGAGACTAAGTCTCTCAGCAGCATTTTCTTACTTAACTTTATATGATGTTAGGATAGTGATAGGAAATGATAATTTTCGTAGGTTAGTTCTTGAAGAACAACATCTTCTGGGACAGATGGTTTTCTCTGTTGCTTTCTGCATAATGGAAAGGCTGCTACAGTCAAAGGCAATGGCAGTCTCTGATTATTTTGGCTTGGTTTCTTAAATCACTAAATTGAGTATGAGGTGCGAGTATATGACACTTCACATGGAGAAGAGTGGATAGGAAGCTATTGGTGTGCAAACTGTTGACTGAACAGTCAGTTTGTATAACAGTCCAAGTCACGCTGTCCAGTGCAACTTTGAAGTCTGTAAAGCAAACTGAAAAATTTTGAGCAGGTGCCTGATGTGAGGTGCAGGTCTACATGCAGTGCTCTGCAGGGTTTTTTTTGGGGGAAGAAAGTCCAGGAATGCAATATGGACAAATATGTGCTGGGTACTGACTGACTTAGACAGGCATTACTAATCTTGGCTTTGTTGTGAGATATTTCCTTGTCCCATCATACAATATGTTTAAATCAAGGTTACACCACTAACCCATCCTCTTGTCTGGTATAGCATGTTGTTAGCTGAGATGCTGTCTAGATTTCTCACTAATGAATAATTACATAAGTGTGTTTATTTTTTTCAGACATGGAAAAATGAAGGCTTTTTTGCTCTATACAAAGGGTTTTGGCCAAACTGGTTAAGGCTTGGTCCTTGGAATATCATTGTATCCTTTTCAAAACTGAGCTAGCCATACAACAACAAGTACTGACAGACAGTTTCACAGAATGCTCAGTGTGGCAGGTGTGGTGCCAGCACAAATAATTTCTTTTTATGAATGGAAAATTGTGTAGCTGACCACTTTTAGTCAGGTGCTGCTGGTCAGATTGAATTTGTGACTCGCACAGATGAAATATAAGAATGTGATCTTGCAGAATGTTTTTCTGTTTCTCCAGTTTCATACCTGTCTATTTCCTTAGTTTGGAGCCTAGTTTTTAGATAAAACTGACCAGATGAGTTAGGAATGGGGGCTGTTTCAAGAACGGGGGAAACTGTTGACAGCCATGAAATCTTTCTGTCTATCTTGGTCTCACACAGTTTTGTTTTTGTTTCAAGAGCTGGCTGATCAGAGCCATGGGAAGTGGGTTGGTAGTAATGTTTTTTACCATGAGCAAACCTACTTTAGCCTATCAAATATAAGTGAGTAAAAACTTGAAGGGCTTTTTGCAGTATTCTCCTGCCACCTCAGTCCTGTGTTTAAGATGATGAGGAATAGGGATGGAAAAGTAATTTGCATCACCAGCCTTAAAGCAAGCTTCATTGTTCTGCCTAGTACTGCATAATAAAAATTGTCAACCAGCAGCATTGCATAGGAGGGAGCAAAGAGTGGGAGCAAGCTTCACGCAGATGCAGCTCTCCTTTCATAGTGAAGTGACCATTTCGCACTGCATGAACAGGAAACAGTTTTCCTTAATCAGCTGTTCCAGTTCTTTCTGACGTATGAACAGCTGAAGAAACTAGACTTCTGACGTGCTGAACTGTATGCTGAATTCTGTTAACGTACTGTTTGAGTTTAGAGCAACTTGTAAGTTGTCTAGAGTATTTGCTTTTTACTGTCTGAGATGCTGGCCAAACGAAGAGGTCACCATGAGACTGTTGTGAATGAGAACAAGCTGGGAGTGATTTCAAGGCAACCTGGCTGTGGTAACAATGGCTTGCTCGTGTGACTCCGTGGATGGTGTGCACTGTTTTCTAGGCTGAACCAAACATGGAGGGGTACCTTCCATCAGCTGTTCACGTGTTCTTGAATGTGAAGATCTGTAATGCAACTTTATGCTGTTGAGACTTGAATGCACAGTGGTCTTTGGGAGGCAAAGAACAAACTTTCTCTAAAGGAAGATAGGTGGTACCAAGGAGCTGGACTTGTCGCCTTTTCAGAAGTGTATACAATTTGACTGTAATGGTCTATGGTTTCTGATTAACTGGAAGTGTCACAAGACATCTCTGCAGGCTTTCAGTTCAGCAAAATACTTGCTGCAGTAAAATTTCTGCTTCTGGTTTTAGTTTTCCTGTGTTCTGAGTCCTTAGATGTCTGCATAATTTGCTGGGAATAATCCAACTTCCCTTGAAAGTGTGGTTGCTACAGTTGCCAGTTTTGCATAGCTTGAGGAATGTTTTGTCTGTTTTTCCTCCCCCAATGTATCATTCTTGGTTTTCAGCACAAGTGATTCTTGACATTCATATGTAAATTACCATTAGGAATGAAGTTCGAGTCCATGCTCATCTGCCTGTCTTGCAGAGAAACTTTCCCTGCTTCTTCCATTTTTGGGAAGAACTACTTCTAACGGTTACTGGCTGTTATGCGTCGTCTGAAAGACACAGGTTTTACACTGAGCAGTTCAGGCTGTGTCATGTAGGTGCCTGTGTGAGAAAAGAACCAAACACCTCCAGAGGTAGGTCTGCTATAAAGAATTCTTTCCTTTTTTTTTTTTTTTTTGACACCCAAATACAGAACTACTGAGCACTTTGATACAGCAAGCAGGCCCAAGTCGCTGCTGTGTGTAAGTAAACACTTCATGTGGAAATCGACCACAACTTCCTTAAGGCACTACCTTTAGGGTTAAATGTGTATCAGAAAGCAGCTGTCAAGGTTCTTGTCAAATGTTGCTGTAGAATTCCAGGAGAGGAACTGTGTGAGATGCGGTCGTGCAGTGGTCCTTCGGTGTTCGCGCAGAGGGGCAAAGCAGGGGGCCTCGCTCTGCGTCGTCGTGGCATTGTGTTAAGCAGTTAAACGTTCTTGGTTAGTCGTACATTCCACTTAAATTTAAGTGATTTCAAAATCACTGTAATCACTGAAAATTGCTAATCTTGATTTCACAAATGGATTTTTTAAATGCACAAAGCACTTTTTTTCCTAAGGCACAATGTTTTTTCTGTCTACATGGTATACTTATGTGCAGTGTTTTTGTCTTATGGCTCTTTCTATACTTTAATAGAAAAACTTGTAAATACTTTTGTACACTGTGTAAACCAAGTGTATGTTTTACATTTTTAAGCTTATTAAAAGTTTTAAAATGATAATGTGATGACTGCATTGCCTTCAGTTTCTCAGTTTCAAATGGGGAAGGGGTGGGTGGGTTTTGGAATACTTGAAGGTGACCAACAGAAGGCGGCTGTTGCTGGCACTGAGCTGCCTGGAGGGGGTGGGTGGTTAGCCAGGGCAGACTGAAGTTACAGTCGTTAAAAGTTCCTGTAGCTTACAGGCTGAATGATGTGCTTTAACTGTATGTTTTCGCTGTTCCGTGACACATCTGAAGCTGCAAGGCCATTTCCCACTCGCTCCGTTACGGCTGAGCTGCCTGGAGGGGGTGGGTGGTTAGCCAGGGCAGACTGAAGTTACAGTCGTTAAAAGTTCCTGTAGCTTACAGGCTGAATGATGTGCTTTAACTGTATGTTTTCGCTGTTCCGTGACACATCTGAAGCTGCAAGGCCATTTCCCACTCGCTCCGTTACGGAAACTGCTTGCTCTGGAGCAGATCAGTCAGCTCAGTTGCGCGTAGCAGCAAAATACATTTATTGCCCTAGTAACCGAGTGGATTCCTGGTGCTGGTGAGTGGCAGTGCGAGTCTGAGACACAGTGCTGAGGGGATGAGGCACCTGCCCCTAGGGAGTAACCGGCTGGGAGCACAGCACCACTCACTGTGGGGAAACTGGAGAGGGGCAGATGGACGGAAACTAACTGGGAAGTGGGGGGGGGGGGGGACA